AAAAAGACAAAGAGAAATTTCGTTTCGGTCGAAAAATTCCGCCTCGTGGAATCCGGCCTTAACTCTAGACATTCTTGCTAGTTTAGTTAATGCATTTTTCTTGGTGCACGGCTCTGAAAATTCGAAATTTGGATCGTCGAATTCCCATGCACGACCATAATATTCATATAATATACTGAATCTGGATATAAACGAGCCAAAGGCAAAGACAATTTCAAGGTAAAAGGCTATAACTTACAGTAAACTACACAACGTAGTTTTAATAGATAACCACTTTATGAGAAGCATATTAGTGTCATATCAATATAAAATTTATCCAACAACAGTCTCTATTAAATAGTTATTAGTTAATAGCTGTGAAAACGTGAAAACTGTAGTGTGAAATATAATATTAATGTATTTGCTGCCGCAGCGAGCGAGCCTGAAGCGAGTGAGCAAGGCAGCAGATCCTAATTTTGTTTTGTGGGTCGAAATCAAAATTTTCTATTTGGCGCATTGCATGACGGTACCAGTGAATTTTAACCGTGGTGCAGCGCGGTCAGGCATAAGGCAAACAGGCAATGTGATCATCTTTCATCTTTGGTCTTCTTTTATGGAAACCCATAGCTGGCTTAGAGTGATCAAACGGCATTTTGTTGGGTGCTTTTAGCATTATACGGCGGTGCTTTCGGCATTATACACGGTGCTTTCGCCATTATACGCGGTGGTTCCAGTATTATACGCGGTGCTTTCACCATTTATATACGCGGTGCTTTTGCAATTATACGCAGTGGTTCGAGCACTATATGCGGTGCTTTTAATATTATACGCGATGCTAGCTTTCATTCAACATTATTTCCATATTCTTTCCATGACATGTATATGATTTAACGATTGCTTAAATTTGGTATGTGGCTGACAAATGCTTTTTGCCTATGGTCTGCATGGACAATGACATGCTTTTCTGTGTATATAAATGAATATAGCGCAGCGAATGCGCCAAACAGTATAAACGCGGCTGAAATACGATATTAAAATCTTAAATGTGCCGTATGATTTAATTATGTTTTAGGATTTACAAATGCTTTGTCATTTGTATTTATACTTGTACTGCATCACAAGGCAGTACGTAAGTGAAAAAATTCGACATGTGAGATTGTCTTGTATACATTTTTGCTTTCTTTGCAAATTTTAATTAGTGAGACGCAATGTTAAATGTCACCTGCATGTCATTGTCATTGCCCTTTAACCCCTGGTCTAATTGGCCGCTTTTGAAAATGTTGATCATGACGAACCGCACTGCCTTAATTATGCAAACTTTGTGTTTTAAAAACGGGTTAGGATAAAACACGGACGGACGGATGAATGACGGACGGACGGATGGCGACGGACGGACCGGACGGATGATATATATATGTCATTATATAGTCTGCGCGCAGCCGCGCAGGGTAGTTAGTGGCTTACGTCTTCGCTGGTTGTTATACTTTAAAATAATTTTGTATATACCGAGAAATCAATATTCCGAGTATATAAATATATAAACTGGGATGTCACACTGATAGCTTGTTTACATTTCCTGGAGCATCAAATCTTATGTTTAACCACAGCGGTTTAACCCATTAGCTGGCAATGCGCCCTTCCCTTGTCCAACGCCAGAAGATTTTACTCGTCAGTGGTATAGGGTACTGCCAGTAAATGGGTTAACAAACCTATCTGCCAATGGCTCTTGTTAATTCATCAACACAGTAATGACCCCTACTTTAGTAGTTTAGTAGTTAATTACATCAATAATTGGACTACGAGTAATAATATGAAATTAAACATTGGAAAATGCAAAGAACTGGTTATTGATTTTGCAAAAAAGAAGCATTGCTTTCCCCTTTTAACAGTCGATAAAGTTAATATTGAACGAGAGAAATCTGCCCGGATCCTTGGCCTCACAGTCCAAGATAACATGAAGTGGAATGAACATAAAAATAACATAGTTAAAAAAGCTAGCAAGAGGCTCTATATGCTAAGACTGCTAAAAAGGTCCAACGCGTGTATTGACACGTTAATTACTGTATATACTACCATTATTAGGCCTGTTTTAGAGTACGCATGCCAGGTCTGGCATTACAATATCCAACAATATTTATGTGACGATATTGAAAAAATACAAAAACGCGCGTTGAGAATAATCCTCCCATCGCAAAAGTACAACGAAGCGCTGATCACGACTAACATCACGTCACTGAGAGATCGACGAGAAAAATTATGCGAACATTTCTTTGAGAAGAATATTGACAATGAAAATCTCAAAGATCTTTTACCACAAACAGTTTTATCTGGATATGATCTAAGACCGATATGTAAATATCATAATTATGTTTGCAGAACCGAACGTTTTAAGAATTCGTTTTTACCTCAAAGTATATCAAAGATTAACAGTAAATAAGTTTTTAGAAATGTAAATAATCTTAAATATGTAATTATTATGTAATTTTAACTTATCCTCTTAATTTATGTAATACTGGTGTAATTTAACCTTTTTGGGTTACAAAGTCAGTAGTCATTAAATCAATTCAATTCAATTCAATTCAATACCCTGTCCAACGCCAGACGATTTTTAATACTCAGTCAGTGGTAGGATGTTTCTGAAGAACTCGTTCAACACCCTGTAGTTTGTCTTTTGCTGTCAAAGGCAGCATTACTGCCCTGTGGGTAACCTAGTCGTAATGCCTAATGGCGCAATAAGGATAAAAATACCAACGTTCGATTCAGCGTAAGAAATTGTACTTACGGATGTCAAATGTATTACTAAACAACAATATTCTAGCGATTTATGGCCATTCAAAATCAAGCGAAATTGTATTGTTTACAAATCGCTCGCAGTGCGTTGTCATGTTGACACTCACTCGCAGTACGTTTGTCCTTGACCTTGTACTAAGTTGTATTAATGCCTAATGGCGCAATAAAGATAAAAAATACCACCGTTCGATTCAGCGTAAGAAATTGTACTTACGGGTGTCAAATGTATCACTAAACAACAGTATTCTAGCGATTTATGGCCTTTATCTTTAAAATCCAAGCGAAATTGTATTGCGAACGAATCGCTCAAAACTATTCAACTAATTATAAAAAATGCAGTACGTTTGATCCTTGATAACTTTGGTATCGTTGGTTTTCTCTTTTTCGGCCGTATACCAGTGGATTTGTCTCACTTTTCTCTTCATTTTGATAGTATTTTGAGCCCAAAAGCCCCAAAATATTTTATTTTGAACGTAATTTTATTTTGAACGCGCAGTTTAATCCTAGCCGGTGGAAACGCCGGAAGTTTTATTTGTGTGTCTGATTGTATAAAATCCTGAACTGGGTCATTATATTAACAGAAACTTCAAAACTGAGCCTCCTACCTGCAATACAAACCTAGTCAATTTGAGAGCGGCAGCACTCTCCCTTTGACAAGCAAAATCGACTGGTATGAGACATTAAACTAATAAAGTAAGGTGCATGATTGCATTGGGGCACAATGCAAGTCAGTGGGATATAAATAACAATATTATAACATGGTATTCACCTAAATAGACAGAGCAGTGTTATATGTTGATATAGTTCAAAACAGAGTGAACAAAACTGTAACCGAAAAGTTTAATCTTCAACCCTTTCGCGCTCGTATTCGACTTTTCCGCTCAGCTTGGGACAATCAAGGGACAACCTTAATTTAATTAAATCTTAATTAAAACAACTGTATACTGCATGCATGCATGTATCATACGGTATAGGCCGTATTCTGTGACCCCAAAAGTCGCTTAGAAAACAAATTTCGTTGCCCCCATTCGGGACCTACTTTTAGTTTACATGAATCTATAGTTTTTTATACGCTGAGTACGAATTCACTTGTTGTCACTCGCACAGACCCGCAGTTTTTTTGTATTTTACAATCAAACATCAACATTTTTTATTAAAATTTCCGCCATTTTGTTCAGGAAACTTCATGTTATATACAGTTATTGTACTAGTCCAAGTCTCCTAGCAGGGGGGTTGCACGCGGTATTACGCAGTTTGTTATCATTCCTCGGAGAAAAATATACAGAAATAAAATAAAAATATAGATATTTTTCCACAATATAAATGCAAAAGGTACTGCTACATGTTTGTAAATACTTAGGAATTAATCTATTATTCTTTATTGCATCAACTTTTGGATTTTTTGGCTCATCATGATGTAAAATTGCAAAGACTGTCTGTTTTGACTTTATATATTTAACTTCATATACTTTATTTCATATAATATTACTTCAAGTTTGACTTCAAGTTCTTCACGATTTTCATAAATAACTAACTATAGTTCGCTTAGCAAAGTCCGTATTTATAGTTGCATAACACCCACACATTAGCACACTATTTACATATATACAAAATCATTCAACCGTATAAACATGCTCCCCGCCCAGTCCAGAGGCGGAGCAGTCTGGACGACTACAAAATAAGTTAATGTTCTATAGAAATTAATGTTCTCTTAATAAGAGTATAAGTTTAGTCACAGGTCTGTGTAATACTCCATTCTGAGTTAAGACTTTGGCTGATCGCACAACGTTTCGGTCGTCTGGAAATGTTTCTTCAATTTTGCCCCTTGGCCACCGTCCTCTTGGCTGATTTGGGTCCAATATTAACACTAAGTCACCAGGTTCCAAATTTCGTACTGTTTGATTCCATTTTGGCCGTCGTTGAAGGCAAGGCAGATATTCTTTCTGCCACCTTTTCCAAATCTTTGACATGATGGACTGTAGAAATAGCCAACGCCGTTTTGGTGAGACTTCATCAACTTGGATTTCGCTCGGCAGCAATGGCATTAACTGTCCTGCAGTTAAGAAATGCGCGGGGGTCAGAGGCTCTACGTCATCTGGATCACTTCCTACATACGTCAACGGACGATTATTCAACATGGCTTCGCATTCAGCTGCAACGGTGGAAAGTTCATCATCTGTAAGTTGAGCTCCGTTTGTTGTGGCTGTTATCGCACGTTTTGCCAGTTTTACCATGGCTTCCCAGGCTCCTCCCATGTGAGGAGCAAAAGGAGGATTGAAATTCCAATCCAAGCCTTCTTGTTGTAGCTTCGTCTTTAGAACGACATCATTGCATAATTCTTTTACTAACTGGCGCATTTCTCTCTCTGCTCCAACGAAATTGGTTCCCTGGTCTGAAAACATCCTTTTCGGTTTCGATCTTCTGGCGACAAATCGAGAAAAAACCTTCAAGAAATCATCAGTTGATAGGGATTGGGCAACTTCAAGGTGAACAGCGCGTGTTTGTAGACATGTAAACACGACTCCGTATCTCTTTTCTCGTCGACCTCCTCTAAAGCCAGCTTTGGTGGTTATAGGCCCAAAATAATCAACGCCCGTCAAGGTAAATGGTGGGTTTGGGAAGTCAACTCTCGATGCAGGAAGATCAGCCATGAATTGAACACCAGGATTACCACGCCATTTCTTGCATAAGACACAGCTCGATAAGATCTTCTTCACTTGTTCCCTTCCTCTTATTGGCCAATACCGCTGCCTCAGGTTACAGAGTACTGTGTTTACTCCAAAATGCTTCACCTCTTCGTGAGACCTTCTGATTAGAAGAGCAGCTAGATGTGATCCTTTTCCCAAAATAATCGGATGTCGACAATCATATGATAGAGGTGATCTCTCAAGACGTCCACCCAAACGTACCAGACCTTCGTCGTCCATGAACGGAGAAAGAGAATATAACGGAGACGATTTTGGGACCAACATCTTCCTTGTCTTCGTTTTTCCCAAGCCAGTTTGCTGTTTTTCAAGGACAGTAATTTCCTTCGCGAAACATAGGGTTTGATCTCGTCTCAAAAGCCAAATTTCTGCTTCTCGAAGTTCGTCCGCGCTTAATGGTTCTATAGGATGCTGGATGTCTTTCTTTTTCATTGCACTTCTGGTCGTAGGCTTCGTGAGACGTTTTGATTTCTTCAATCGCCAATTGCGGAAAGGACGTCGAAGGAAGGCAACTCTTTTTCTCAACTTGTGAAATGTTGAGAAATCTTCAACTTTCAAGAATTCTTCTCCTACGGAACTCTGGACATGACAATGACGTGTGACTTTCTTCTTCTCAGCTTCAATCAGCTTCTCGTCTGGTTTCAACGAACTTTCAGTGTATTCATCTGAACGAAGGAAACTAGGACCAGAAAACCATATATTATCTGGTTTCAAAAGCTCTCGTAAGTCAACGCCTCTCGATGCTAAGTCCGCTGGATTATCTTGGCCCGATACGTGATGCCACTGGCATCCTTCAGTTTTCTCTTGAATGGTCGCTACTCGATTGGCCACGAACTCCTTCAGGACACGGCTTTCCATCTTTATCCATGATAAAGCCACAGTGCTGTCTGACCAGAAAACTACTTTGACAGTCTTAAATTCCATTTGCTTCACGATAAATTCTGCCAAACGTACTGCCATCAGACAAGCTTGTAGTTCCAACCGTGGAACTGACATTTTCTTTAAAGGGGCCACTTGCGTCTTGCTCATCAACAGAGACACTTTCACTTCATTCTTTCGCTGACATTTAAGATATGCAACGGCTGCCATGGCTCTCTGCGATGCATCAGCGAACAAGTGAAGTTCCATATCAACTTTTTCTAGTTCTGCCCAAACGTGGCGTGGAATTGTAATCTTGGATAAATCAACAAATTGATTAAACCAGGTCAACCAGGATCCCTTAATATCAAGTTCAAGTGGATCGTCCCAATCTCTCCCTCTTCTCCATAACTCCTGCATCAAGATCTTACCACGAACTACAAAGGCTGCTAACAATCCCATGGGATCAAATAGTTGCGCTAACCTTCTTAGGACTCCTCGTTTAGTCCACACTATATCTTCTATGACGGGATAAAATCGGATTTGATCGGTGGATGGATCCCACGTCATTCCAAGGACTCTCTCGTTGGTTTGATCTAATGGAAGAGGGCCATTCTTGATACGGTCAGGAACACCTTCAAGAACGCACGGTTGATTGGATATCCAATTACGCATCTTCATTCCACCCTCGTCCAACATTTCGCACACGTCGGTTACGGTTTTCTTTGCATCAAGACTAGTCTTGCAACTGTGAATCAGATCGTCCATATAGAGGTCCTTGTCTAGAGCTTCACAGGCCTTTGGTTTGTTTGTTCCATAGTCTTTAACAATTCGCTTGATGACGTAACTTGCTAAAAACGGCGAGGCGGGATTTCCAAAGATGATACAATTAAACTGGTAAGTATCTGGTAATTGGTCTTCGTTCGTTCGCCAAAGAAATCTGTGATACTTGCAGTCGTCAGGGAAAAGCAGAACTCTTAGGAACATCTTTGAGATATCTCCTGCGATGCCGATTTTGAAACGTCGGAAACGTAATAATATGCCCGTCAGGTCATTCAATAAACACGGTCCCTTTTCGACCAAATCATTGAGCGAGATTCCATCATTTTTGGCGGAAGAGTCAAATACAATCCTTAACTTGGTATTCTTGTCTTCGGAAATAACTGGGTGATGCGGAAGGTACCAACCCGTATCAGAGGGCTTCTCGGGTAACTTTTCCAAATAACCATCGGCCACGTAATCTTCAATAACTTTGCCGTATTTTTCCTTTAGAGACGGTTGTTTTCTCATTCTTCGTTCGATTGATTCTAGCCTCTGTAACGCTACATCATAGGAATCGGGAATCTGCTTCGTACTATCTTTCCACGGAAGCTTGACTTGATACCGCCGGTTCACCCGACAAATTGTTCGTTCCGTTTCTTCAAGAATCTTTTGCTCTTTATTAGTGTATAAGGATGGCTCTTTTACTGGCATTTGTTCGATCTCCCAGAAACGTTTGAGATTGAAATCATCCACTGAAGTCGTCGTCGGTGAACAGGATGAAATGAGATGTGTTGATGGATCTTCTCCGACTCTTTCGTCAACAGGTCCACAGATGCTCCAACCTAACACAGTTCGTACGGCGTAAGGTTCATCAGGCTTTCCATAACGAGTTTCCAACTGCCTCAGAAGGATAGGATAATCTTGACCAACTAACAAATCAACGCTTTCTGTGTCCACAATCACGTCGACGTCTTGCAGATAAGGAAATTTTTGCTTGATTTCTTCAATATCAAAGGGGGGTGAATAATTGCTAATTTTTGGAATAGCATACGCGGTCATTGGGATAGACAGTTCATTGTCTTTGGCTTGTATGAGAAATGAAACTTCAGAATTGAGTTTGATGTTTTGATCCCCCACACCCGAGAGTGTCAATCGATTGCTTCTTCTCGTTGTCAACCCAAGGCTTTCGACCAGACGATGAGTTATCAACGTCACCTGGCTCCCGCTGTCATCCAAGCAATTTATCGTAACTCGTTGACCATAACCATTTAGGATATCAATCTTCTTTACTGGAAGGGCCACAATTTTCCTTTTTAGACAACTCCGATTAGCGTTCGACGTAACCGACAAGGTTTCCTTCGTTGGTGTCTCTTCATTTCTTGCAAGTTGTTCACCACCTGACGTCTCGCTGCTTTTCCTCTCGACATTATGAGTAGATATTGCAGGATTTTTAGGGTTTTCTTGGTGCAATAAGGTGTGATGTGTTCCCTTACAGTTTTCTATAAGGCATCCCACTTTTCTTCTACATTTCGCCACGAGATGCCCTCGAAGCAAGCATTTGAAACAGGCTCCATTCTGTTTCACTAACTGTTTTCTTTCATATACCGTCATTTTCTTCAAGACCAAACACTGATCCGGCCAGTGGTTACCATCACGACAAACCCAACACTTTCCTCTTTCAGTCGGAAATTTCGTTTCTGTTCTTTCAGTTTGGGTGACTTCATCTCGCGTTGTAACATGCACGTGGGGTTTGAAGACTTGCTTTCCTGGAACTCGTTTATCTCCAGCCTCGGTTTGTGGTTGAACTTCAATTCTTTCTAGGATTTGAACTTTTTTTCGTAACCACTCAGCAAAGGCGCGCATATCCGATCCGATGCCTTTGTCGTCTTGGTTAGTTGCCCAGGCAACCGCAAGATTACGTGGTAACTTGGTCGATAGCAATTTCATTCTTCTTGGGTCATTCAGATGCATAGCCACATCAGGTCCCATATTTTCTAACACTTGTATATTAGTGTTCAAATCGTCGTAGAACTTTCGAAGACCCGGTACATCTGAAATCTTTATCTTCGGCAAGTTTTCCACGGCTCCAAGATAAAAACTTGCTTGGTCTTCTTCATCACCGAACCGATCTTGCAAGGCCTTCAATGCCAATGGATAAGAGTTCTCAGTAAACGGAAATCCTCTAATGCAGTCCTTCGCAGGGCCCGTTAAATGTTTTTCCAAAATTGCGAACTTTACAATAGCGTCATAGGGTTGTTTATCAACCACGGCCTTGAACGTCTGAAAGAATCGAAGCCAACTTTCTTTCTTTCCATCAAATGTACCCAGTGGTATTGTCTTTTCCCCAAGGACTAACGGTGTGCTCCACGTCGAAATTTCCTTTGAATTGCTCACGGTCGTAAACTTCTTGTGAGTCTTGTTACAATCACTCGAGTAAACTGGAAGCTGGACGTTAACTTTGTCGGGCGAGCTGCTTTTCTTTGCTTTCAGTGACTGGTCTGCAACAGACTGAGGATTTGATGAATTCTTTGAGCTTGATAAACTTGATTTCGCAATACTGCACGATTCTAAATCACGTTCTGCTTGACGAATTTCCAATTCCCGACGAATTTGCATTTCACGCTTCAATGTTTTAAACTTTAAGTCTTGTAGTTTTTCTTCATAGTGGTGGCGTTCTTTAACTTCGTCTAACCTCTTTCTTGATCGATGTTCTTGGTCTTTACTCAGATGCGTATAGGTAGATTTCTTTCTCGACGATACACGAGAACGGGCAGAGATAGAGAGCAAACATTTCTCTTCTTGTGAACCCCGACGTGGAGACTCTGATTCTTTCTGTTGAGCTGAAATGTACTGTTCTGCCTTCAATTTACAGTTCGCGATTTTCTCTTCAATCTCAACTAGTTTATCTGTCGCCAAATCAATCTCTATCTCATCTACTTCGCTAGTCAAAACAGCAATATACTCGTCATGGCGCTTTACAAAGCCACTGAACGCTTCATTAAGTGAGTTAATAACTCTATCAAGTTCTCTGATACTGCCTGAGGTTTCGATTAACTTGTATATATTGTTCAACAGTTTGGTAACATGCGACATCTTACCTCTTCTGCTGGCTTTCTTCGCTTGAATGTTCAACAATTCCGCTGAAGGAACTTCTTTATTTAATCCGTAACACTGTTCGGAATTCAACATGTCGTGTTCGCCGCCCAGACCATAATCACTCGCAAATTCCTTTGAACCTTCTATACTCATCACAACGCCAACGGTTCCCGGGTTTCGGCACCAATTTGTTTTGACTTTATATATTTAACTTCATATACTTTATTTCATATAATATTACTTCAAGTTTGACTTCAAGTTCTTCACGATTTTCATAAATAACTAACTATAGTTCGCTTAGCAAAGTCCGTATTTATAGTTGCATAACACCCACACATTAGCACACTATTTACATATATACAAAATCATTCAATCGTATAAACATAAAGCTTTGTAATGTGATGATTCAAATACACTTTTTATACTCAATTTCTATTGTCCTTTATATTTTCTTGGGTGAATTTTGAAAAAAACTGAGCTGTGATGAGTACGGTTCATGATTGAGGATGTAATCATAGTTGGGAGGGTGGGGCTCCTGAGGATAGCGGACGTACTTAGAGAAACGGACCATTAGGCCATAAAAAAGGCCCTCCGAGCCATTTTTAACAACTGTTAATATATAAAAACCGCCAAGGTTTATTCCCTCCCCTCAAAATTATGGTTAAACCTGAGTTGTTCTGTTTTCAACTATTATTCGATTAATTATGAAACTATCACGTTAATGAATAAAATACTGAATATATGAGAATGATGCTATAAGCGCCTGAACTAAAAGAGTAAAATAGTAAACGGTTAAACTGTTGCTAAAACGTAATGCAATTATGATCATTACCGCTTTCGTTACATTATAAGCGTGTGTAATCGATATGAAATAATACTGTGATGACGTCATGGGTGGTGCTTCACTGCACCACCCGCACAACCCGACGCAGAACCCCCTTTCCCTATACTACTGAGGTGTAAAAGCGCCTATGGACACAAGTTTTTATAATATGGTAAATAAATAAAAAATTGTTATTGTTATGGCTGGTCTTCGCTTGTAATAAAAGCTTTCCAAAGTGAAAGACTATCAGAGGTATAAAAGTGCCTATGGACACAAGTTTTACAATATGGTAAATAATAAAAATAGGTACGCCCTGCGTACATGTGGATAGCCTGCATTAATTGTTGTTAAAGCTGGAGTAATACGCGCAACAAAATTGCTGCAACAAAATTACTGCAACAAAATCTGATTTCAACGCATTTTAAATAGAAATGTTGAGAAAACATTTCATTTAACATGCGCAGAAATCAGATTTTGTTGCAAGTTGCAGCAATTTTGTTGCCCATATTAGTATATTACTCCACCTTATTTGCTATTGTCAAATTCCGAATTTTTAATACTGAATGAAAGTATTAAATAAATTGACACAGTTCAAATATGATACACACATTTAATCACATACTGAACATCAGATATGACAAAAATACGTACGTAAACGACTGTTACGTGCATTTTTCAATAAGCATAAACAGATATAAGAAGTTACAACGTATTTTAATCTGTAAAAAATAATTTACACACTGAACAGCCAGCACAGTACAAGGTCTTCAATATGTATATGAAATTACCAAATACTTCACACGCCGAAATACAGACAGTACGAAAAACACTTAAGACAAGAACAGTTCTTGTTCAAAGACAGCATACATCAAAGACACAGATCTGGTTTACAGGCTGCGTATATACAATTTTCGTGAAGTTTGAGTTTCAAGGATAGTCCATGCATAGATCTAAGCGCGATATATATATATATATATATATATATATATATATATATATATATATATATATATATACATATATATATATATATATATATAACCATTAAAAGTGAATGTACTCTGATAGTTCCTTTGATGCTAGACTGCAGATTACTGTAAGTTTCTGTATCGTGTCCGAATAAGTTCCGAATACCTACAGTATATATCTAATGTCTATCTCAATCATTAATATAGTAATAAAACTTTAACATACTGTATAGTCTTTCGTCCAGTGGACCTTTTGTCTTGCTCGTTGTGGTCTTGCTTGTACCTCTGCTTCTCCCTTGTTGTCTTTACTGTTATCTTTGTTGACTTCACTTGTCGTGGGGCGTATATGAACTCGGTTTCTTCTATATACACCATTCTTTCCTTCAATGATATACGATCGTTCACTATGTTTAGCACGTACTTTTCCTCTTCTCCAGTCATACTTCTTTCCTTCTGTGTGTTGGTAGTACACCGGCTGACCAGGTGACAGTTGTTTCAGGTCTCGAGCGCCTTTGTCATAACTTTGCTTATCCAGAAGGCGGTGTCTGGCTCTCTTCTGTGTTGCATTTCTCGCCCGTTCTGATTTTGTGTTCGATATGGCAGGTAGGAATGATTGTGTTGCTCGACCAAACATCATTTTAGCTGGACTTTGTCCAGTACCCTGGCGTGGCGTGTTTCTCAGTTCGAGTAAAGTCTCATATTGGTCAGTGTTGTCCCGCAGTGATTTCTTCATCATTAGCTTTATAGTTTTAACTGCAGCTTCCGCTTTTCCATTCGATTGGTGATGGAGGGGCAGGGCTCTCACTTCCAGCTACAGTCATTTCCTTAAATTTACACTGAAATTTCCTTAGAATTGAAAAAATTTCCTTAAAACCGGAAGTGGCAATAAAATTGGCGGGAAATCACAAAATATTGTTGTTTTCGATTTAGAAGTTTTTAGAAATATAAAAAGGCAGTTGAAAATTCTATTTAACTCCTTCTCAGCAGGGGCCATTACGAGTAGAACGTGCACGTTCTACGGATGTAATTCGTTCATATCTTTGGTTCAGTGCACGCTATGTAAATGAAAATACTACCATTCGATTCAGTATAAAAATATACACTAATTTATAACGATAGTTTTAGTCAGTAGCTAAATTGTAGCGACTTATGAGCTTTGCGACTTATGAGCTTTGAAAGTCAAGCGAGCTTGGTATTTGATCAAATTACACAATATTATTAACAAATTATAAACATAGACATACCTTTCGCCGAACATAACTTCATCCCCTTGAGACGTATGCTCATTCTGGTAGTCTTGCTGAATGAAGCAGTTAAAAATAACATGTATACTGTTATTTTCAAGCTTCTATCTTTAAAATACGAGTTTTCTTGCCGAATTTTGCATTTCTGCCCCGAATTTGCGTTAATCCCAACCGGAAATACGACGAAAAACCGTCAAAACAATGCGTAGTTTGTATCGCGTGACTCTGGAAAAGCCAGAAATGGATTCTACAGGTCAAAGTGCACCCATACGCGTGAGTTTGACGTCATCCCGGCTAAAGGGAGCTCCTTATTGGCCAAGTATTACGTAATACAAGCGCGTGCGAGTAAAACCCGATACCTTGAAAAATTCAAAATAAATATTTCTACTCGCCGTATTCATACGAAACTTTCTACACTAAAGCGCTTGAATACAAAGAGTATTTTGCACATATATCCTTTCAGAAAATGACACCAAATTTTAGAATATATTCAACTTTTTCTCTTTTTCCCGTTTGAATGTTTGGCGAAGCCGTGAGTATAAATATATGATTGTTTCGGTTTGTGTAATGTTTTGACGGCACTTGACCCCCCGTTCGAAAGGTTATATTGTGAGGATTTCAATGGTGGCATTTATTTAATAGGGGGGTAAATACTCGCCGATATATTTATATTAGAAAAATTGTATCGAAATGTAATACGAAACCGGTTGTCGAGAAAGAGTTTTAACCTAAAAAAAAAACAATGTAGAGGTCGTCAAATCAGTCGCGCGACTGAAGTAAAAATTGCCTACTTAAAAAAAATTGACTCCAGCTATCTATAGTGGCCAGTAGATCGAGTTACTAAAATTTTGAATCGTACCGGTAGTCCAGTTATACGTTTCATGCTGCTGCAGAGCTTCGGCAAAGTAATGTTAGTCAGTCACGAACAGCGGTCTTACGCATGAAAGTTGACGGATTCGGGGGTCAAATCCGGCTATCTGATTGGCTGACACGCTCATTTCCATGGTTACGGCCATTTGCGACGGATCTGTGGGGAGGCCTGACGGATTTGCAGATTCAGGGGCTCTGTATGAGCCTTCTGATTGAACCATTTAAAAAAATTCTGCACTATCATTGGCTTATATTTTTGACGGATTCGCAACGTGAGGTATTCGTCAAGACCGCATTAGTGTTTACCTCTGAGTGTTTACTATTTCGAACGTTTACTATTACGAGCGATTTCTACCAGCGTTATCTGGAAACATTTTCGACAATGTTCAGTTTGCGATTGTGGCAAACAATTTGGAATCTCTATACAACGTTTGTATACGGAGCTTGAAAAGAATATCGATGCCTCACGGACGAATTTTGTTGACAAGCTACTGAGCGGCGCCATCAACAACACAAGCAGAAGCCTCGCTAGAAATTTTGGCGCTGAGAGCTACTGCTAGAGAAAGACAAAGCTTGCACTGCAATAAGGTAGATAAATTTATGGTTTTATAGTGATGTATCTTTAGTTCATATTAAAGGTTTATAAACCGGAGTACCAAGCCATCGGTGTTGTTAATGATTGTCTGACATATGATATTTTAATATATTCGCTATGCTGTATTGCTGTATTAGCATAATTCTCGCGTCAAGAAGCTAAAATATGTTAATATTCAATGTCTACATTGTAAGCATTTGTTGATTCTCATGTTAGTGAAGCTTTATTTAAAATTTCTTTATATTTATGCATTAATCACACAACATGTACGCGTAACGCGTATACGTGTATTGTTTATCCATAGCCTTTCGACATGGCTTGAACATAGACCGCATTGGTCTGATGTAACATGATGATGTGAAATATTTAATTGTAGGTAGCTTGAAAAGCTCTTTGACTGGTAGCCATTCTGATGTTACTAGTTTATTAATAGTATATTTTGTGTTCAATATATAGACCACAGTAAGACTTTATTAATAGTAAGGGTTTAGTTTATTAATATTTGACATAACATCTTTGACTTAGTTAATGAATATGTGGTTGTTTTTTGGAGCTCAGGCTACTGGCAATTACTTGTTATGTATAGTTCTGTGTTTTTGGTAACAGAACAGTATATTTCCTTAATGCATTTGCTTCCATATGATTTTAGAAGTTTTACAATGATACACTTATAAGCATATAGTACCAATATGACGACGATTCTTAATCCACAGGCAAACATGTTAAATTGCTGCTGAGTTTTAAAGTATTATCATCAATATATCTTTGTGCATTTGTAGTTGTTTTTACAGTGCCTGTGGATAAGAATCAAATGTTCGTTTGAGTTTATCAATTTAATCTAAATATGTTTTATAATTTGGTTAATTAGGATTTAGGTTAATAGGTGTGTGCGGGGGGGGACCAAATCGCATTTTATGTACGGAAAATTCTAAAAATCCAGTGGCGGACTATCAACATAACAATTATTTAGCGCCCACTCCCCCCGTCTGGAGTCGACCACGCCCAGTCGAGACCACGCCCAGCGCCGATAACGCCCCGTCCACCAAAAAAATTTTGACTGAGGTACGAAAAATCCTAGATCCGCCCCTGTGAGGACGAGGATCGAGGGCTTCCAAGAAAGCTTTTAAAGCCGAAAAGCAAAAAGTACAAGCAAAACTTTCGTCAAGAATGGATGAAAGATCCGTCTTTTCAGCAATGGCTTCTTCCTCCTAAACAACATGAAAGCGAACCATCGTGCAAAGTGTGCTCGAAGAAATTAACTTGTTCAAAAACTGCTTTGCAGCGACATGGAGAGTCAATCCATCACAAGCAAGCTTATGCAAATGCATCCAGACAGGTTAGCATTCACAACAGCCTTCAAAACCAAGACAGCGCGAACGTATATAAGGAGATCACACCGGCTCAAGTAGTAGCTTTTATTGCCGAACACAACCTTCCCCTTAGACTGGCGCCGTTTCTGTTAGATTTGATAAAAGCAAGGTGTCCTAAAAATAGTCAAGAAACAAACTGTCTTCGAAAGATTGAGATTGGTGCCACAAAATGCACAAATGTGATTCGTCAAGGTATCGGGCTGCATTATGCACAAGAGTTGATCGATATCTTGCGCCGCAAGAGATTCAGTATAATTCCAGGTGAGACGACGGATGTTTCCTCAGAAAAGCAGTTGGCAGTATGTGTAATGTACGTTGACGAAACCGATTTGTTACCAGTAACTAGATTTTTGGATATTGTGGAGGTTGATAACTCTGGAGCAAATGGGTTATACCAAGCGATAAGAGCGATTTTTCAGGAAAAATTTATTCCTCTTTCCAATATAATTGGTTACTCGTCTGATACTTGTAATGTGATGTTTGGAGAAAATCTTAGTGTGTCCACTCTCCTGAAAAAAGACTTTCCACATGTTACTGCTGTGAAATGTAGTTGCCATCTTATTCATTTGTGTGCTTCTCATGCCTGCTTAAAACTTTCGAAATCACTGGAAGATTTGTGTAGAAATATCTATTCGCACTTTAGTCGATCATCACTCCGTCAAAAGGATTTTAAGCAGTTTCAAGAGTTTGTGAAAGCGCAACCCCACAAGATGCTGAAACTTTCCCAGACAAGATGGTTGTCTCTGGAGAGTTGCGTTAATAGAATTCTGGAGCAATGGGAAGCTCTCCGTCTCTATTTTATTGCGTTTGTGGCTGATGGCAAAGATCCGTCTTATACATCTGATAGCATTTTGAATGCCTTGAATAACAAGTTCGTGCTAGCGCAGTTAGAATTCTTAAGTGCCCAGTTCAAACGTCTCAACGAATTTAACACCATGTTCCAGTCGACTGAACCGTTGTTACATTACCTCAGAGAGGAAGTCACAAAGCTCCTGAAAGATATTCTTAGTGATTTTATTTCAATAGACGTAGTCAGGAAAGAGGATCCTTTCACTATCGACCTGGATTGCATGAATATCAGATTGCCTTTGGATAAAGTGTATATGGGAATCTTGGCTACAAATACCTTGTTTGAACTGAAAGATGATACGAATGTACAGACAGTAAAGAAAGCTTGCGTAGAATTCCTTGTTGAACTAGTCAAACAAATAAGATCGCGTTTTGACATAAAAGATCCAATTTTCAAGTTGGTAGAATTTCTTATTCCAAGCAATGCCGTTAAGTGTGTACTGTTAAGAGCCAGAAGAAGTTGTCCCCGAAGAGACGTCAACTGTTTTTTGGCAAAAAAGATTGAATGCCAAAACTCTCAATGGAACTCTTAAATATCCAAACCTCAAAAAAGTTGTTGCCTGCGTAATGTCCCTGCCATGTTCGAATGCTTCAGTTGAACGAGTTTTTAATCTGCTGAAGCTGATTAAAACAGATTTCAGGAACGCACTGAAGAGAGAGACACTTGTAGGTCTTATGCATGCTCATGTGGGCATGAAAGCCAATGATGTGCATGCACATCAATTGGAGCTTAATGCAGAGTTTGTTCGTGTGCTCAAATCTGTCAAGAGCAATGCTACTGACAGTGAGGCTGGTGAACTTATTCGTGAACGTTTCAAGAAAGTCTGATATAGTACGTGCGGGTTATCAAATAGGTTGCAAGTAAGACATAGCAGTGATAACTTAACAACAGTTTGTAGCAGGATTTTTTTTGCTTCACTTGTAGAAACAGTTACTCACTATAACTATTATGTGGAAAGTTCGAAACTACTGTAATTCATGTTAACTTGTTTTGTTTACGCGCAGGACACGCGTGTCCCAAGAGAAATAAATGTGTTATAACGATAGTGATTTGCTTTTCAGGAAAAAAATACAAAATAAAGTGTTGTTTGGATGTAATCTTTTACGAATGTAAGTGATTATGTAAAATATTATGAATGTCAAAGAAGTTCCTTAAAATTTCCTTAAAAAATTCGTTTCCTTAAAAATTTCCCTAAACTGGTTCAAATTTCCTTAGTTTAAGGAAATTTCCTTAAAAGTGAGAACGCTGTGGAGGGGTGACGATGTTACTTGCTTAATTCCCCAGTGTTTGGTGAAGGTCTTGAACTCGGAGGAAATAAATTGTGAACCACAATCAGTTACCATTTCACTTGGTATGCCATATCTTGCAAAATGTCCTTTGAGTTTGGTGATTATCTGTTTACTTGTGGCAGTGCTTAGGTGGTCAACTTCTATGAAACCCGAGAAATAGTCAACCGTGGCTAGATAATCTCTTCCCTTGATCTCGAAAAGGTCAATTCCAACCTTATTCCAAGGCAAGCCTTACAGTTCTCTGCTAGCTGTCGTACTTCTTTTGCCATTCCGGGCCAAAATATGGTGTCTCGAGCTCGTCTCATCATACTATCGTACCCCAAATGTGCAGAGTGCAATCGTTTCTTCGTGGTGTCACGGAGCGATGCTGGGATAACTATTCTTTCTCCCTTTAGGATAATTCCATTTTGATGGCTCAATGTGTCTTGCACATCAAAATATGGCCTCAGATCATTTTGTACGTCCTTCTTGCTTTCTGGCCAACCATCTTTTATAGTGCTCAACAGGGACTGCATACATTGGTCCTGTGCGGTAGCCGCTTGTACCTCCCGGATTTGCTCATCTGGCACTCCTTTCAAAGCGTTTACTTTCATGACTATCACCTGTGCGTCAGGAACATCAAGAAAAGCTCGGCTGAGGGTGTCGGCAATAACAAGTTGACTTCCTTGAATGTAGTGAAATTCAATGTCATAGCGATGAACTCGTAGCATTAGTGCTTGTAGTCGTTTTGGGATCTGGCTCAGAGGTTTCTTCAGGATTGAGGTCAGAGGGTTGTGGTCATTCTGTACTATGACTTTTCTTCCATACGTATATTGGTCAAATCGTTCAAGACCGAACACCACAGCTAGGGTTTCTTTTTCAATTTGTGCCCAATTCCGTTCAGCAGGAGTCAGTGCTCTTGAGGCGTATTCAATTGGTTTGCCATCTTGCATCAGTGCTGCTCCGAGTCCGTCTTTACTGCTGTCTACTTGCAATAGTAGCTCCTTGTTCGAATCAAAGTATGCGAGCAAAGGAGTGTTTGTGATCTTTTCCTTGACCTTCTGGAATGCTTCTTGACACTCTGTTGACCAGTTCCACTCCACATCCTTCTTGGTCAGCTCTCGAATGGGTTGCAAATCACCAGCAAGGTTGGGCAGAAACTTAGCCAGATACTGAATCATCCCACATAGCCGCTTCACTCCATGTACATCTGTGGGGGCCGGCATGTCAAGGATAGCCTCTACCTTTGACTTGTCTGCTTTTACTCCTTCATTTGTGATAAGATGGCCCATATACTTGATTTCTGTCTGCTTCAGGACAGTTTTCTCATCATTCAGCTTGACTCTCTTTTTTGCGCATCTTTCTTGCAGTGCCAGGAGGTTCTGCTCATGATCAGCATCAGCTTCTTCTCTTGTGTTACCACTCCCATACACCACCAGATCATCTGCAATGCATATCACACCATTGAGACCAACAAGTGCCTCATTGAGCTTTCTTTGAATCTCACTGCTGACCTGAGCCCAAATGGGAGCCGGGCCCATCTGTATCGTCCAAATGGTGTAATCATGGTGGTGAGTAAGCTAGATTCATTGTCCAGTTGGACATGCCAGTAGGCTTGTTTCACGTCGAGTTTGCTAAATACTCGTGCTTGGCTGAGACTAGGTAGAACATCGTCTAGTGTTGGTAGCTTGTAGTGCCCTCTTTGCAGGGCTGCATTTAATGGTTGTGGGTCAATACAGATTCTCAAAGATCCGTTTGGTTTCTTTACAACTGCCATTTGGCTTACCCAAACAGTTGGTTCTTCCACAAGCACCAGTACGCCAGCTTCAACTAAGTGGTTAAGTTCCTCCTTAACATTCTCTTGCAATGCTAGTGGCAGTTTCCTACATGGAAGTGTTCTTGGTGGGACATATGGATCAACATGTAGTTGTGTTTCTCCCAACGATCCTAACTGATTAGCGTCAGTGCTTATATGGGCTATGAAATTGGCATCATTGATTGTAAGTAGACCCATTTGTTGTATAGTTGACAGTCCCAGAAGACAGCTATAATCGTTTGGGACAACAATAAAATCGACCACGGTTTCTTCTTCATTCTTTGGGTTCGTGATCTTCAAGGTAGTTTCTCCCAATGGGTTGACCTTGGACTTGTTCCACATGATTAATTTCTGTGTGGTGGGTTCCACCTGTGTTGGTCGTACAAACTTTTGGCACAGTGTGTTCACATCGGCTCCAGTGTCAAGCTGAAATCTGACGTCACAGTCTTTTACTTGCATCAGAGCAGCGGCACGGGTTTTGTTGGGAACTTCCACAGTTGCAAGCCAGTTGGTATCGGAGTCATCAGATTCATCAGAGTTGCTCTTTGTCTCTAGTGTGTGGACTTTCTTGCACTTGACTTCAAAATGGTTTCTGCCTTTACAATCGTTACAGAGTTTTCCCCAGGCGGGACACTTTGTCTTAATGGCTTCATGAGACTTTACACAAAAATTGCACTCCTTCAGGCTGTGAGGGTTATTCTTGTTCTTTTGTTGTTCAGGATGTTGTTTTGATGGATACTTTGAGCTTTTCTTGCCAGCTATCTGCTCAATCTTCTGTAGTTAACTGCTTTCACTCATTTCCTTTTTACTTATCGAGGTGATCTCATAGGCTCTGCATATTTCTACAGCTTTCTTTATGTCTAAACTAGTCTCTCCTAATAACAGTTCTTGTTGCTTACCGGTTACAGTGAAGACTATCTTGTCTCGTATCATTCTTTCTTTTTCCTTGAAATTGCATGATTCAGCGTAAGAGTACAACTTTGTTAGGAATGTGTCAAAAGGTTCTTGGAAGGGTACTTGCCAAAAGCGAAATGATTGCAGAACTTCATTTTGTCGTGGATTGCAATATTCCTCTAGTTTTTCGAACACTTTAACGGGATCATTTTTGTCATTTTCTCCTTCAAATTCAAAATGATCATAAACCTCAAGGACTTGCGGGCCTGCACAGTGTAATATAATAGCCGTTTGTCGCTGCTTCGGCTTGTTATTATTCCCACTAGCTTCCATATAAACTTGTAACTGACGTTTCAATTTCTTAAAGCTATCTGCCAGATTACGGTCTGTCAGATCGAGCGATGAAGGTAGATGACATTGTGCCATTTCCATTTAAATAAGTATAGATACTCACAAAATACTAAGGATCTTTAAGAATATATCGCTGCCACCATGTTAAAAGAACTACAAGTCTGTATTAAGCTCAACTAAGTTCTAGTTTAATACTAAAAGACGGCCTTCACGCCATGCTTTTTAAGAACAACAACTCACGCATGCGCGCCCGCTAGGACTCCCGACTGCGGGCTCAAAACCAAATATCAACACAGTAGTACAAAGTAAATTTGTAAAATATCTTCTAAAGGCAGCAGAGTGACGGGATTATCGAATAACAATGTTTGTAGTAAAGTATCTTTCAAAGGCAACATGATGACAAGGTAATCGAATAACAATGTTGAAAGTAAAGTATCTTTCAAAGGCAACATGATGTCAGAATCATCAAATAACAATGTTCAAAGTAAAGTATCTTTCAAAAGCAACATCAAGACAGGATCATCGAATAAAAATGTTCAAAGTAAAGTATCTTTCGAAGACAACATGATCACAGGATCATCGAGTAGCGAAGTTCATAGTAAAGTATCTTTCAAACGCAACATGACAGGATCATCGAGAAATAATATTCATGGTAATGTGTCTTTCAAATGCAGCACCATGGCAAGATCATCGAATAGTAGTGTTCAAAGCACAGCTCAATATATTATTCCAACATGCAGTAAGATTACTTTTTGGAAGTGCTGGTTTGCCTACTGTCTTCATTGTCTTCAAGGATGTCAAAAAAATGGCATTCTTGTAGGATTCTGTCTGGCGGAAGTGTTTATGACTTCTTCAACATTAGCGGTTATATCATCGTTGATATGCATCTGAGCAAGCCAATATTCATTCTCTCATTAACCATCGTGCTTCGTAGCCAAGTTTTCATTCGGCGAAGAGCTAAGACAGATCGTTCGCATTCACATGTAGTGACCGGTACGACAGCGAGAACCTTTAGAGCGGTAAAAATATTTCTAAACGCAAGTTCATTACAATTCCTCAGGGTATCAGCAACTGAATCATATGTGACTTGTTCGAAGCCTTGTTTCCAATTGGTTTCCCACAATCCTAATTCAGCATGCATGCTCCGATAGTTGGGCATATCATCTTTGTAGGCCGAAACGAACTTCATGAATTCCGTTTTCCAGTCAACGTTTTTACACATGGGGAAGATGCCAGGAATAATGTAGAAGCCATTGGAGATGTTATACATTTACGATGGAAACCGAAATTCAATGTGTTCAATGAGATATTCAAGAAGTGGTATGGTTAATTTCACTCATTTCATTGTAATATTTTTCATGAATTTCATCGACTGAATTGCGCAAGTTTTTCATACGTGCATTTAGAAGATTAATCTGTTTTGAGGGACTTGTATGGCGTTCCGTTCCGGTCAAAATTATTTCAAGTCAACAAGTAATAGTCAAGCATTAAATCAACATGTTAGAACTCTCACTATAATGTTGGAAATATCAAGATGAAGTTCAAACTCAAAAAAACAAAAACAAAAACGAAAGTTTAAAGCATATACTTCAAAACTGCAAAATACATTTCAAACCTCAAAGGATATACATGAAAATTAAACGCAAGTCCAATCTTTTATTTGTAATACGAAACTCCCAAATGATAAGTCAAAGCCGCGGCTCATAAAAATAAATCGAAAAGTCAAAAATGTAAATCGAAAAGAAACCGAAGTAAGCAACTTAATACAGGGAAGTCAGGAAACGGAAGTTAACCAAGAAGCCAGCCAAGCCAGCAAATGGTATTCTTTGTTTTAAAGGGGGGTGAATACGCGCTGATATATTTACGTGCTGAGATATTTACGTATGTCGCTTGCCGATAAAGACACAGAGTTAATGATTTAAAAACTGAAGAATTATCTCGCTCTTTAAAACATTGCTGACCTCGTCTTTTAACAATTACATTATATCATGATTCTGCCGAATATTTTTCTCGCCGTCTGGATGTTTACGAGATAAATATTTTTGTACTAATCAATGGGCTGATGATCCTGGGTGATACTTGTGAGATACCAAGAACAAGTAGATCAAGATCATTGTCCCTTATAGTAGAATGTGATTGAGTGATTCCCTGCTCGTAAATGGCGGAGACAAATTAAAATTAACGTCCACGTCGTCGTATTGCACTCGCAGATACTCAAAGTTTCTTGTAATTTCTGCTCAGGAAAGTCCAACTTGAAGATTTGAAAGTTTAGATCGCCTGATCTCAGACGTCCAGTCTTTGTCTTCCCACATCAGAATTCGCATAGACAATTGGCATTTGTTCAATACTACTACAATCGGTTGCCTCATCTGCTAGAACCGAATAGACAGGACAATTACTGTTGTTGATTTCTGACACGATTTTTTCTCGGATTTGGGTCCCACAGATTTTCACTAGCTTATTCTGTATTGTTTTCGAACAATATTTAGCATTCTTCTTCCCCACTTCAAAATGTTGCTTAAGCTTTGTGTCGCCTGAATCCACTCGGAAATCTAAAAAGGCTTGAAAGTTTCCAGGATTGGGAGATGCGTAATGCTGGGAGTAGTCTCGATATCCTCTTAATGGGAGATTCTGCTTGCCAGCCAAGATTACAGTTTTGGTGATAGAACTAAGGATATCTTTATTGTATTGAACGCGAGCACTTCTCATGTTATCGGCTTAGTCATCTATGCCTTTGGTTTCGCCTGTCATCACGCTTCTAAACTGCACCAAACGCAACATGGAATCACGATGAATAACCGACTGTTTCTGATGCTGTTCGAGTCTTGTTGCCGCACTTTGCCAGTTGGTTAAGGGTTCCTTAAATAACTTGGATAATTTTGAGCCGTTACGTCCAGTTTGACACAAGAAAGACAGAAAGCTCCGTTATACAACTTGGAATAACATAGCCAAGACCTGCGATGTAGCCAACTAGCACAAAATTTTCGGCGTGAAGTTTCAGAAGAAGGAAAGTTGAAATCTGGGGGTGGCTTCCAGTGATTGTTGATTAAATTAAACTTAGTGTCATCATCAATTCCTGCCACGGACACAAATCGTCCAATGTCCAAGGAATCAACATCGGAAAGGTCGGCTTTTGTACGTTTTGAAAGTCCTTTACCAATTTCTCCTGAAGTTCCTAGATGAGAAAATCCAGGCGAAAATTTAGCATTGTTCTAAAAAGGAAACGCAAGCAACATCATACAACGCATACGACACTCTTCTCTTTGCGCAGATTAAATGTAAGTGATACAGTACACGTACAGTACGTAAATGGCGATCTTTTTTAAAAGTTAAATAACACAACAACAAAAAATGAGGAACAGAATAACTAGTAGATCAGAATTAAGATTAATAGGATCCATTCAAAAGTTGCTTGTTACATCGTTTCTCGTTTCATTGCTGCTGTTCGACAATGCTTTTTTCCAAGACAGTCTATCACACTAAATTAATCTTTAAACTCACGTTTAAGTGTGGTCCTTGAAGGATCACACTCCATTTTAATGACCTTGCCATCATCAGCAATCGTTTGTTGAAGAGAAGGCTCTTTTGCTGCTGTTGGAATATTCTCGTCTACAACATTCTGACCTGCAGGTGCAGGAGGCTCTGCAGAAGAAAATATGCAGCACATATATATCGTATACCTGTACCTGTAGCTATGTGACCAACTTACTACATGTGGTCGGGGTCGGCTATTTTGCGAGCTGCGAGTTGCGAGTTGCGAGTTGCGAGTTGCGAGTTGCGAGCTGCGAGTTGCGAGTTGCGAGTCGCTAGCCTTGCTTTGAATTAGGCTTTGAAAGTATATTAATATGGACGACATGGAAGGCAAAGTCGAAGGGTTTTTTGTTTCATAAATATGACCTTCGAAGTTAAGGTCCCTGTAACTAAGACTTCGACACAAAAGAAAATGCTACGATACGGACGAGATAAAAATCGGCCTTTACTTGTTTTTTTACTTTGTTAGATCCATCGATACGTATGTTCAAGAATTAAAATAATTATATTGAAAATAAAAGTGCAAGTTTATATTTGCCGTTTCTGTGTTTAATAAAAAATCTAGTAGTTATCCAGACCATTTTGTGCTTTCTAATCTTAAAATGGTTATTTAATTTTATTAGTAAGTATGACCAGACACCGACTCAGTTTGTTTATATATACTGAACGCTGGGAACCCTATAAAACTCAAGTCCTTTTCATCGGAAGTACAATTTATTTTATACAATTTATACATAGACATACATATACATACATACATAAACTTTATCTAAACACGGGAAAAAACCATCAGTATATCAAAACGATTGCTATTTACAAGTTTGTAAGTATAAAAATAAATGCAATGAATGTTTATTTCAAAAGCTGAAAATTGGCGCCAAATTGAGACAAAGCTAAAATCACATCCGCCAGGATGCCATACAGTTTTCAATTTGAATTTTTAGTGTAAACCACAGGTGTAAACACCTGGTTCGGTGCTTCAAAGCTAGGTTAGTGTTAACCCTGGGTTAAAATTAAACCCGATGTTATTAGAAATTAACAATATACTCGTAACTCGCAACTCGCAACTCGCAACTCGCAGCTCGCAACTCGCAACTCGCAAGTCGCAACTCGCAACTCGCAGCTCGCACTATAGATAATCTCCATGTGGTCAAAGACCATTATCTTATGGACATCAACTGACCACATGACCAATGGACCAATCCAAACATAACACAATTCACAAAGTGAGTGATGCAGTTTTCACAATTAAATTGTTTATATGGGTAATAGCATGGTTTCGAGTGCAATTTGGATATAACATGCACGAGTGAGTTTTTCAAAGACCTCAGGATAGCACGAGTCCGAAGTCGAAGGACGAGTGCTATTTGAGGTCTTTGAAAAACTCACGAGTGCATGTTTATCCAAATTTCACGAGAAACCATGCTAATACTTATTAATAATTTACATAAAAATGTTCGAGACAATTGTAGTTTTAACTTACGCGTTTATAGCGAACATTCCACTGGCAAAGTTTTCCTGGCTTTGTTATATCACATTATACAACGCTAACAGCTTGAAAATTCCACTCAACTACTGTATGTAATTTTTGTTAGTCTTGTTTAAGGCAAATGCTTTTCCATTTAAAAATAAAGAGAAAAGCCATATTTTCCACGCGAAGGCAACTTTTACTTTGTGTAGCGCGGCGCCATGTTTGTTTTGTTTTGAAGCAATCTGTGACCGTTACTTCTTTAAACTAAATTGCTTTAAACTGATTGGTTGATTTAATCATCACAATGATTTTCCGCCAATCAGATCAGTTTGGTACAGTTTTTGCACCATGATTACAGAAAATTGCACTTTGATGGCAAAAAATTGCACTGTGATTACAAAAAATTGCACTTTGATTACAGAAAATTGCACTGCTGTTTGGAATTAACTGCATTGAAATCAACCAATCACAGTCGAGTAATATATTTATATATATTATTAATATACTAACAGATAGGCAAAATGCAAATGCATAAATCTATACTAGGAAGTTTATTTACATATACAGACACACAGTTAAGCTGTAAATGAAAATAAATTTGCTACAGGTAGTACATGTTTATACCTGTACATTAACTTTAATTTAGAACAATATAATAAGGCGACTACTCTACATGTGTTACATTGCCAGGATGTAATAATATTCTTGAATAATACACATGTAGAGTATATATCAGAATAAGAGATTATGATATTTACTTATAAGGCGTACAGGGAAATGGCAAAAAAACCGAGTTTGTCCCAATGAAACAACTCTTTACAATTTATCCAATTTGATTGGTTTTCGAGATAGTTTGAACATGGTGTACTCCATTGTTTAGTGACCATATTATTTTTATATTTCATGTATATACCTGGGACTTGTGACCACCGTCATAACCCTAGCCTGGGGTACGTTATGATGATGGTCACAACAGACAGGGATATCCCTGTTAAGTTGTTATAACTATATGGTATTTCAAGAAGAGATGTACATACATGTATTTTCAATATGTAAGCTAATAATTATATGGAATGTTGTTAATAAGTTATATTAACAGCATTCCATATAATTATTAGCTTACATACTGAAAATACAATAATAAGCATCTTCATATACAATTACAAGAGTTCTGTCAAAAAAAACAAACTTAATTTTTATTTGATTATTGCCATTTCAGTTTAAAGTCACATGTATAATAATATTGAATTGAAAATTCAACAAATTTTGCATAGTTCACTGTGATTCAAACCACTGATCTGAATCCTAAAGCCATAACAAACTTGAAAATTACTTATATTGAAAAGACAAAACAATATTATTAACCCATTTGACAGACATGATAAGTTTCGGTCAGGCATTGTGTTACAGTAATAACTAGCGGGCACTCAAAGACTGCATACCTCCGCCCGTATACCTTGGAATTTCCTAAGAAATCGACTTTGCAATTCTTAAGCATAAAAGACTTTAAGCCCCCGCGAAATGAAATCGAATTGCTAATAGATCATATTACTGTTGTTGTACTGTACTTGTAAAATAAAAACTTATTAAGTGTCGTTAAATAAATGCATAAATTTTGTTTTATGCACTCGCGTGTGCAGTAATTTTGACAGTTGTCCTATTTTAAATTCTCAGGCAGCTAAAAACCTTTTGTCCTTAAATTAAAACAATGTCGATTTCTTGGGAAATTCCGGGGTTGCGTTTTTTTATACACCCTGTATTGAAGTTATCTAATATATGTTATTAGAATTTGAATGGATTGGCACTTTGCTGAACGGAATAATGCGTAACTCCGTAAGCCTTGTTTTAGACATTGAATTTCGGTCGCGTGAAATGCAACTAAGACAATAGATAATGAAGGCTGAAGCTTAATGAGGTTTATCATCTCATTATTGTCTTAGTACTGCGTGCATACATTATACACATCCTAATTACGCATTCAGTATTTTTTTAATTGCCCGGGAAAAGTAAGACAAAAGTTTGTTTATTTCTCGTTCAACTCTTAACCAAATTCAACCAAAATTTAATCATTCTTCCTTAGCCGATGGGACATGCATTCAAAAAATTTCCCATGAATCTGTTTGGCATTTTTTGAGTTATCGTGCTGACAGACATACACACATACACACATACACACATACGAATAAGTCAATTGGCTTAGATATAATCAGTGCCCGGCTGCTTAAAGATGGCTGCGCAGCAATAGTACCGTCACTCACATATCTTCTAAATATGTCTATACAGAGTCATTCCTTCCCATCCATATGGAAATGCGCACGAGTCGTTGCATTATTTAAATCTGGTGATAGAAGCAAAGCCACAAATTATCGACCTTTTTGTATATTGCCAACTTTGAGCAAGATACTTGAAAGAGCAGTCCATAACCAACTTTATCAATACTTAAATGAAAATAATTTGTTGACAAAACACCAATTTGGTTTTCGTTCCAAGCGTGGTACTAATACTGCTCTATCTAGCTTTGCAGACGATATTCTGAGCTCAATGGAAAATGGTAATTTGTGTGGAACTGTTTTCTTAGATTTATCGAAGGCGTTCGATACAGTCAACCATAAGATCCTTTTTAGCAAGCAGAGTGCGGTTGGAGTATGTTTCGGTGATTTGTCATGGTTTAAATCCTATTTAAGCCACCGACAAATGCGAACTTCTTGCGACTCTGAACTGTCTGATCCTCTCACATATGAAATGGTGTCCCACAAAGCGGTATCCTTGGACCGTTACTGTTCATAATATACATCAATGAATTAGCCAACGTACTGGAACACTCAAATATCTCTTTATATACCGATGATGCCATATTGTATTACTACTCCACTTCCATTAAAGATTTGGAGGAAAAGCTTAATGGTGATCTTCTGAAAATTGGCGATTGGCTAAAGGCACATAAACTGACACTAAATATAAAGAAAACTAAAGCTATGGTTATTGGAAGTGGAAGAAAATTCAGAAACCTGATTTCAGCCTTCGTTAAAGTATATGATGAAGAAATAGGAACAGTTCAGCAGTACACACACCTTTCAGTCATCTTTGCAGCAAATATGACATGGACAGCGCATATAGACCACCTTTGTGCTAAACTCAATAAGCGTTTGGGTCTGCTGAAGCGAATTAAGCATCTCCTTCCACACCATGCAAGAGTCCTCTATTACAATAGACTGGTTCAACCACTGTTTGACTATGGAGATCTTGTATGGGGAGACAAAAATAATTGTACACTGATGCAAAATCTGCAAATTCTTCAAACTAAAGCAGCCAAGGTAATTTTGGATCGACCACCTTTTTCGTCTGCTACCGAAGCTCTTAAAACTCTGGGATGGAGGGATCTATCTCAGCGAAGACATTATCGTAGGTGCCTTTATATTTTCAAATGCGTTAATGGCATGACTTTTTCTGACTTGGATTTGACTCGAGTCTCGGAAATACATGAACACAATACCCGATCCAAAAACAGTTTACGTTTGCCAAGAGTCAAAGAAACTGGGGCAAACAAAGACTAGCGTACCATGTCTGCAAGGATTTGAATAGACTTAGGGAAACCGTGAGGAGACTTTCTCAGTTTAAATCATATTTTAAAAACTGAACATATACGAATGTCTCGTATAAATGAATTTTTTAAGCTTTATAACTTTTATATACTTTTACCTTTACAAGATGTATGTTTTAACATACCTACACTTTTTAATATCCTATATTACAATAAATTGTCATGTATATAATCTATTTGTCTACAGGACATTTCTGAAAATCACGCTGGTGAGAAAGTTTCCTGTCAATAAAGATTATGATTATTATTACATACACACATACAAACCCAGATGATTACATAACCTCCTGGCGGAGGTAATGATTACATAACCTCCTGGCGGAGGTAATAATATTAACCTTTTAACTCAAACAGCTGCAAAGTAAATTAGTAAGGGAGTGTTCATTATTTATACCCGGGGTTGGTACCGAAGAGAAGTGGGTTGGGTAAGTCATTTTTCTGAGGTATGAAGGGTTGGGTAAATATTTTTTGAACAAAGCCTATGGTTGGGTAAATTATTTTCAATACAAACCTTCAATTGAAGAAAATATGAAAATCCTTTATTTAACAAAATGGTCATTCCAGGAAATATTCATTCATTCCCCACAAAGAAAATTAAACTCCAACTCCCCATTCCCTTCAGATAAACTAGTATACTCACCATATCAGAAACAATATCCTCCATGTATCCCTCAGAAATTACCTCTGTGGGGGGAGTGTGGATATTTTCAGGTAGGACCCAATACTTTTGAAAAAGTTCCTCAAATGTGATATAACAACTAAGATGGGACAAAAACAAAGTGTATTAATAGTTTCATTTGTCACAGCTATCAATCTGAGATGTCAGAGTCTTCTTCATCAGAGTGGTCACTAAACAAAACCTCTTGAACATCTTCATCAGTGCCCAATGATCCAATGAATTTCAAGTATGCAATGTTTCGCAAACTAACTGGATAATGTTTTCCTTCTCGAACAGTCTTTAAGTCCTCTATCTTTACAGTTTCTAATGATTTCTCCCCATATGAATGCGGGCAAATTCGGTCAATAGCATCCCATTCAAAATTGTTGTTTGTCAAAAGTTTCTAGCATTCCTGACCAAAGAAATTCTGTTTTTCCTTTTGTTCTTGCTTTTCTGCTCCTTCTTCCTTTTTCGTTTTCTTTGGATTTCGTAAGTGGAAATGTCAGAGCTACTAAATTTTTTCTGAAGATGTGTGTTTACAAATTTTAAATTATCTTCAAATCAAACCAGCTTTTCCTTGAGGCCTTTCATAGTTGAAATGTACCCATTGATAACCTCAGCCTCATTCTTAGCCCATCACTTTACTTCATTTTCTTCTTTGTACAATTCTTGATTTCGTTTCTTCAGCATTTCTAAAAGTTCATCACTTTTTGCACAAGTAGATTTGATATGTTCCAATGCTCGACCAGCATGACTGACATCTTTAAGAGTCGGATCTGTAGGCATTTCCAAATTCCTCTTAATCATAATGTTCTCTTTTGGGATCAATCCCTCCTCATAACTAGTCAAAACAGCTTCTAGTTTGTTTTTTATTTTCTCTGTAACGTCCCAGCAAAACTGTTGTTGGCTATTGAGATAAGTTGCAAAGCGGTTTTGTAATGGTACATAGGCGGAGTCATACATTTCTCTTGTAACATCATTGTAAAATCTCATCTTATCTGTCTTCGGATGTGGTTTTAAAAATTTTTGCCATGGACACAGAGGAACAGCGGTTGTTTGTCGTTCGAAAACAAATTGTCCTTTACGGAGAATCAGAGTTGTTTATTTGAACGTTTTTGGAGCATTGGGTCTTGTGTTTATCGACAAAGTCTGCGCATGGTCTGAGTCACAGGTCCTTTTAGCCAACCTAAGCATTTCTTTTTTTGACCTCGCTTTTCGATACCTACTGTATATCCTCTATCATACTTGAAATCTCACCCTCATCCATTGACTTTAGCAAATATAAGTCGTCAAAACCATTTTCGCTAAACTTCTCGGCATATTCTGTAAGATTTACTAGACAGTAGCCACTCACTAAACTCATCGATATTTATACAATTTGTTTACAAAGGCTTAACACTAAATCCCACTGCTCTGCGAGGGAAGAACGATAATATGATTATATTTGGCAACCAGTTAGTGAACCAAATATGCACAGTACTGTTTATACTATAGTGGCCTAGCTTGTATAATAATATATATGTATATATGTAAAATACTTGTATAATTTTGAAATTGGGTTGGGTAAAATAAAAATCTAAGTCATGCAATAGTTGGGTAGGGAAAAAAATGGTTGATCGAAAGGGTGGGTGGTCGTTTTTTTCTCTTTTCGATTAGTTTCTCTTCGGTACCAACCCCGGTATAAATAAGGAACACTCCCTAAGATATTAAAATAATAAAGCTGGGTGCACCTTAATGGGTCAACTGTTAAGTACACAGTACATACTTGTTGTAGTGAGAAAACTACGAAATTTGCCGTTATAATAGGCTTTATTCAACTTAAAATTGTACCTAACATTTTACAAATATGGCGGTCGATATAATGTTTACATTCTTTGGGTCATACGCTGACCTTTATACTCAGGCTCAGTACACACGTTAAATATTCATAACACTTGTAAACACTACTCAAGTAAAAGCACTACTTCTGCACGCTTTCAGATCTAAATAGGTCAGTAATTTTCTGTTATTGAGGTAATTTCTTCTTCTCTGCAGACTTTTTGATAAATTCCACAAGTGGTACAAAATGATTTGGCTGAAAATCCTTGCTCATTCCAGGAAGAATATGGATACCATGAGTTGTCCACATAAGAACTAGCTTAGCTTCTTGGACAAGTTTAGTTTTAATGTTGTTATGGAATAGTCGTGGCCATATAGTTTCATTTTGAAATTGTGAATATTTGGTCTCCCGCCCAAACTTTTCTGGGTAAACTGAAGTAACACCCATTCCTGTAACCGAAAACAAGCCAAATACGCATATAAGAGAGGCATAGGTTCCACCAGTAGTATTTCTGATGGCTTCTCTTTTTACAACCGTCACTCTGCTTCAGGGATCTTTCCTGTCGTATCCGTCACCCAATGCAGAATCATAGGCTGTGGCAGAAAACGCAGTATTGTCTGATCGGAACACATGTGATGTCTCTTTGACGTATGGATTGAAAGCATAAAACTCTTGGTTATTAAAGAGCTCAATGCTTGTCAAATCTCAGTAAATCGCAGAGATCTTCATTGCCACAAAGCAATTTTGAACAGGCTCTGTAAAGGGAATTGCCATCATCTCTAGTTCTATATAATATAAATTCATAATATAAAAAATTGCATATTTGTATATATTATTCCTGATAATTAATTATTAACTGTAATCGTTTGAACAATATCATTTATACAATATTTTTTCCAATATATTTATCAAGGAACTGACTGACGTGCCAGATGGAATTTACACAAAAACGATTACTGAGGCATTAGTGGAGGCAATTCCTCAAATCTGGGTGAATTATTGATATTCGCAACTCGCAAGGCAATATAGCTCACAATATTTACAATAGCTAAATAGAAAATAGCCTTTAGGCATTAAACAGAGCATTGCGCTGTTACTGCTATGTAAACACAGATGAAACTTGTCCAGCTAATGTATCATCTATTGCTGCTTCAAGTTCCTTATGACAGGGCATGAGCAACAGGGGGGGGGGGCTGGCAGGGCTTGAAATAATCATAAGCTATTTGTTACCGGTAATCGGCTGTTATTTCAAGCCCTGGGCTGGGGGCTTCAGCCCCTCCTCCCAATAATTTGTAAACAAGCGATGATCTGTAAAGTTTGAGATGGAAATAATGACTTAATAATTGCCACTGACTAATCAGCCCCCCAATACAAAATTGCTTCCTACGGTAGTAGTCCGTAGTACTAAGAAGACTCAGGAGTCCCTCCCCACTGCCCCCCAAACACAGACTCACAGAGCAGTGAAAATGAGCTACACAAAAATTAAGTATATATACACATTTAACTATGTTGTGCAGAAGATTGTACAGTTTATATTGTGAAATACTCATTAAATGGTTAAATTGTGATAAAATATAGACGAATTTTCCTTACTTTAGAGCTCTCAGTTCTCCAGACTGCCACTTTTCAGTGATATGTTTGAGAATCAACAATTCTGTTGACATATCTCTTCCACTCTTGCCTTTACAGGACGTATTCCAAGGTTTAGATTTCGAAATGAAATCAGCAACTCTCACTTAACGGTGTCTTCTTACCCCTTCGATTTCGAAGGCTTTATCTTCTCGAAGCAAACACAATAGATCGTACTTCATTTGAAAACCTTTGTTTGCCGCCACGAATTCGAGAAAGCGTGAGCTGTCTGCTACGTCTCAGTAGATCGAAAATGCATTATGCATCAGTCCACCGATGCAAACCACCTCTTCCTTCTATTGGCCAAGTTAAAGCGGTCTTAAAACATCTTAATCCAAGAAAAGCAACTGGCATTGATAAGGTTCCTGCATGGATGCTCAAACAATACCACGAAGACCTAGCTCCTGTGGTTTATGACATTGTGTGCTGTAGTATAAGTCAATGTTGTTATCCATCACTCTACAACCATGCCCTAATTTCCCCTGTTCCTAAAGTGCAACCGCCGAGAGACATTAACAATGATTTCCGCCAGATATCAGTCTTACCCCATCTTGCCAAGATCCTGGAAAAGATCCAGCTCCAGTTAAATATTGAAGATTTGAAAATTAAGAATAACAAGCACGCGTTTATTCAACATCGAAGCACAGTCTCTGCGTTAATATCAACTACCCAAACCTGGTTTAATGCCACTGATTGTTCAAAAACAGGCAAAATGGGGGTTCATGCGGCCTTCATTGACTTTCGTAAGGCCTTCGACCTTGTGGATCACAATATTCTTTTGAACAAATTAGCAGCTATGAACATAAATAAACCCTTCTGGTTATGGATTAAAAGTTTCCTTTCCGGAAGAGTTCAACAAGTAAATCTCAATGGTACCTTATCATCCATTGCAACATGCCCGGCCGGAGTCCCGCAAGGCTCTGTAATATCTCCCATTCTTTTTAATACCTACATTGATGATTTGGAGGACGCCTTACCAGAACAACTAAAAGTCAGTACGAATAAGTATGCAGATGACTGCACACAACACCAAATAGTGAGCGTAGATTCTAATAGTAATTTACAACAATCTATCAATGAAGTAAATAACTGGGCGGTGTTAAATAAAATGGCAATTAATGCCAAAAAAACTAAGGACATGTGGATCTCGTTCACGGACGCTATACCTAAACCACCACGTCTTCGTATTGGAAATGAGTTAATAGAAAGGGTCAACGCTTTTAAATTACTTGGCGTGTCGTTCCAAAATAATCTAAAATGGAACGCACATGTTGAAGAGATTACACGTAAAGCAAATAAACGCCTTTACCATCTTAGAGAATGCAGGAAATCGCAGTTACCAGCTGAAGTCGGTATTATTACCTATCAATCCAAAATAAGACCAATTCTCGAGTATGCATCACCTGTCTGGGCGGGACTGCCTAATTACCTGCGAGATGAAATAGAGCGGGTTCAATCCAGGAGCTTAAGAATCCTTGGCCTGGAAAAAGATTACCTACCACCGCTGAACGAAAGAAGGGAAGAGGCAACTAGTCGAGAAGTTGATAGGTTTATGAACGATCCAAACCATCCCTGTCGCAGTGTTTTACCAAAATTAATTAACAATCGGTACTATTTAAGGAACATTGACCGGAATCGCAATATATCATTCTTCTCAGGAACTGAAAGGCATAAACATTCTTTTTCAGGAAGAGCTTGTAAATATATATAAATAATTTTAACTTATTGGAAGAACTTATTAGTTTAAAGAACTTATTAGTTTTAACTTCTTAGTTAGTTTTCTAAGTTATCTTACAACAATTTGTAATATAAAGACATACCCACAGCATATATACTTTCTTAAACAAGTAATTGTAAGTCCATTGTACTTTTTTATCTTAAGATGGATGAATAAAGCTATTATTATTATAAACTGCATGCGATGCATCGCTCAGCGGACAAATTTACCGTGACGTAGGGCTCTAGAACAATGGTTTTGATGATGTCACGGTAGATTTTGCGTAGAAAAGGACTCGGGATCGATACATTCAGTGATGCAAAATGGCTGCAAATCAAATCTACCGTGACGTAGGTGATGCATTTGCTTTTTAGCCATCTACTGTGACGTAGGCGAAACACGAAAAATTTGTCGTGAATTATTTTACGGTTAATTGGCGCAAAATAACACAAACTACGAATTCGCGATCGCACTACAAATATTTTGTTGTTTGCTGTGATATTTAACATTGATTTACATCAGATTTTGGTATTCACTAGCTGCATGGGATATATATATATATATATATATATATATATATATATATATATATATATATATATATATATATATATATATATATATGTGTGTGT